GTACTTTGATGCGAGTTTGGCACCGATATGTTCAATAATTTGCTAGTAAAATATAACAGGTCATTAAGATATTACGATAAAGCAAATACTGCTCGTCATGCAGCAAGATTTTATCTGCGGTTGGGCGCATTTCTCGTACGGTACACCATTGCACTAGAGGTGGGTAGGTGGCTGGAGATGTCTCCTTTATAATCAAAGTTCTACATAAAAATATCCCTTCACCAAGTCGTCCCCTGTGATCGCTGTCCAGTGAGTCACAATTTGAATGACAAGACAGCTAGCATATGTGCGTTTTGGCCGTACCTATCGATCAGTAGTGACGCAAAGAGAAACAGTGTACTGCCCGCTAACTTAAATGAGACAGTATTTGCTTTTTTAATTATAAACGAAACGTCATGCCGCTATTTTCGGAACTTGGCTTTTTGAACTCGCACTTCTCGTCCCGATGGTTCCGCTAACACCTGCACCTATAACCCCGCTTTCCCGTGTATTAATGCGTGACGTGCTCCACGTGCCCGTTGCGCTATAGGATTACATTTAAGTGATGCCATTACGGCTTATATATGAGCCTCCTATCACAAAACAAATATCAAAGTGTGCTTTTAATCCAAAATTATTGTGATGTTTTTATTCGTCCTCCACTCCACTGTCCCTTTGCTGTGGAATTTTGACGGAAAGCATTTTGAGCTAGCTTATGACCCTTTTTTCCCTTCGACAGAATCAGCCAGTATTCCAGCGCTCAACGTCAAAGCCTCAGCGAGTTCCTGGAGTGTCAAATGCAGGGTGCAGAACTGGTCGGCTCCCCGGCAGAATTCAAATTTTGGCTGTTGCGGTGGTTCCGCCATCTTGTAGAGGATGGTGCGTTTTCCTTGAAGTTTGAAACTGGTCTAAAACTTTCAGTCTGTAGACGATAATGTTTGCCTGAGTTGTAATGCCAAGGATGACTCATGAACTGTTAGCTCTGTCTGACTTTGCGAGGTCCGCTTGTCCAGTCAGCGATGCAATGTTGATGCTAATTTTAAAATGTTTTCTAGATTAGGAATGATTGCTTGGGCGCAATTAGACTATTCATTATCTTGGAGCATAATTACAAGTTATTTAGACACATCGAAATGTCAACTTTTGAAGGAACATCTTTTCTGTTTCCTGAAAAGACCTCACTCGATAAAAATAACTACTTAAATAGTGTGCGTTTTTTCCCGTAAATTTCGATACCCATACATATTCAAATAGTTCAATTGACTCAATTGTGAAAAATTCGTGACCTCAGTGGGGTTTGAATCCACATCAGCACGAGGGGAGTTTTAGTACAGTCAACGCCCTTCTAATTGAGCTACGAAGGCGCGCCTAAGTTTTGAAGTTACTCACAATTGGATCGGCTTGCTTGCCCAGCCTACTGCACCTATGGAATCCACCAATTATGATGTAGCAACCCGACTGCCAGAAAAAAATTATCAAAACTGTTTTTCTCTGGTCCTCCTTTAGTAGCAAATCACGTCTCCTTCAAATTTTATATTTAAAGAGAAGGTATATTTCTGTTTTGAAACAATTCTTCAATTACGGAATAATCTTGAACAGGCTCTGCCGTCATCTTTGTTTAGGGTTTTCAGCCTACAAGCTATACGTCTTGCGTGGAGGGAACTTCATACGTTCCTTTGTGCCTCTAAGAAGATGGCGTATAGGGTTCATACAATATTGTAATGGATTCGAGCTATACTATACACTTAATGAGGGACGTTAATAGACGAACACGTGCAATGTGATTAAAATGGATATTGTTCGCTTTTACAAATGTCACAGTTATAAACGGTTTTAGACCCCAAATATAGGCTTTCTTTGGGGGAAAATTTTGAACAAGACGTGATTTTCTATTAAACGAGTACAAATATGAATATTTTCTGCTTACGCTTTCTATAAAATATAATCGAATTTGTGAGGGCATCGAAAATCTATAGAATTAAACACGTTAAAGTGATTGTTCTTGTTCGAGTGGTTTTTCTACAGAATGCCGAAATACTTCCTTCAAAAGCCAATATCCTGCTGTTACTGAAATTTTTTTGAAAATTTCAGCTCTTTAATTTCTTAAGAATTATGCTCCAAGATAATAAATGTTACAATTCCGCGTAAGTTAACCTTCCTAGTCTTAAATACACTTCAAAATTTTGATTTACAGTGCATGAGGTCTGTTACTTACTGTTTGTGTTATTTTCAAGCATACATTACACATCGTTTTCTACATTTCTCAGAATTGCTTAAAGCTTCAGGCCTCCTGACCACACTCTCTTCTCGCAGACGTGGTCGTGGTTCTCTGCGTAACTGACTAAGTATAGAAAAGGAAAAAGGAGGATTTAACGCATAGAATATGCTAAGTAAAACTGAAGCCTAGGGATTACCACGGCGGGTTAACATTGATCATGTGGTCCGTTTGTTTGTATAGGCTGAGTTTTTCCCGCCTTAGGCATTTTATTAAGCTTAACCAGAATGTCACGCCAATATAATATGCCTACCTAAATCAAATAAGCGGGCATTTTGTAGTAATAAAAACTAACGATTCGCATACCAAGTCGCGCTTGGGAACCACATTCGATTTTAAAAGCTTCCAACATTCCACAATAAGCTTGCAGCCATTGTTCAGCCTCTTTTTTTCGTGTAGGCGAATATAAATATTGACGGTGCGCAATAAGTACCAATGAAAGTACTCTTTCATCCATGCTTTTTAGAATACGAATCTTGCCCCCACCCCTTCTCCCCGCACACTTATTTATGAGTGCTTTTTAAAGTTTTGCTATACTTTATTATCTTAGGTGAGGACGAACGTATACGCCAAGTTTGCATGGAGTTCATTGGTCCCTTCCTTTCTGCCTCCAAGACATCCTGGCAACCGACAATAAAGGTAGTTCTCACAGTCTTTTATTGAAAAAACGGGGTCTTCCTAGGGATGATCTGGGGTACAGAACCATAAGTTTGTCGAAATGCCACTATGGCAAATCATTTCATTTTCTCGCATATAAGTATAGGCGTTTTCATGTAATAGAGGTGTTTTAATCGTTTCATGTGGAAGACATGCGACACTTATTGAGCAATATAGGTGTCATTACGGTGTTTGCTGGCCCTTTACTCCGTACAACACTTGTAAAAGTGTCTACGTGAAAATCCCATTAGGAATGAAGGCAAACTATCCTTACAAGTGACATCGTACTTTACTGTACATAACTAACTACGTATTTCGTTGTAGTAAGCCCGTTTTATCGTGTACTTATTCAGCATTTACCACTCCAGAAAAAGATGCAATCACTGGAACAGAATCTTATTTTCCTGACGTTTTGGATTCTGTCGAGAATCCTTAATCATAGGTAACCGTAGGATAGGGTGAGACATGCGCAGAGGTTCATAAGTCCAGTGTGCGCTCGTATTTGCATGAACGTTTAGCTGTTACCACCTATCACAGCCGTAAAATCCGTAGGCTAACAAAAAAATAAAACAAACATAGGATGACCTTCTGTAAAATGGTAAGGAAGTAAACTTTAGACAAGTAGAAACAAGTCTTCATCTCCGATTAATCGCCGTATGAACTGTTCCATCCGTCAACCACAAAAATGACGTTATTTAAGCTCCATCTCGTAACATGGTTGAGCATGTTGAAGTCCCAAAGTTTAACCCTACAGTCATGGTGTGGAGGGCTCTCTGCTCTTCACATTGTACCACAGAGCCAAAGAGAGAATAGTGATTAGTATAGAAAGGACATCGTGAAGCAAAACCCATTTAACATGTAGGGAAGAATCGTGTGA